TACCGTATATTCACCTACATCTATTTTTCATAGAAAATGCAGATTATTCTGGCTTTTTGACTCGTGAGTTGGAGGAAAACATGTTTGAAATTCATGTGTTGAAAGAAAAGTCGATCAAGTTCTCCGTAATTCCCGCCGGAGCCAGAGGCACCAGCCAATAGGATTTAATTTTTATTACTGATAAGCACGTGACCATACATTTCGTGTGAGATTCTTAAGTCAGAGAATAAACTACTATTAACCTAGTCACGGTGAATTACGCAGGTTCGAGTCCCGACCATCGGTCATTATTCTCGTCTAAGGTGTTGTGATTATTCGTAGGCGCTTGACGCGAAATTTTACGTTTGAATTTCCATGGACAAGTTTTACCAAAATCTTGATATTCCGTTGGAATAGAAGTGTTGGAGACTAGTCCATTTCTGAACCAAATCAGGGTTACATTTTTTTGACAAATCACTAGATAAAATAGATAGAACGATTCCAATCGGTTTGAGATTGTTAAAACATCCTTTTTATATTGAGGCATTTCTCATTTATAAAAGAATCTTCAGCAGTCAAAATCCACAAATTTTAAACGAAATAATAAACATGGCGTAATTTTTTATTTTGTCTCAACTGTCCCTTAGTTCCTATAATAAATGTTATTAGAGTTCGAGGTATCGACAAATATGTTCATTCAAGCTGAGTTACGTACTGTGTTTAGTTCGTGCTTCATACTTTTCGCATGACAACTAAATTATCGAAATTTAGTATGGAATCAAATCATTGTGTAAAATAGCATCGATTACGTTTATTTGACCTGTCTGACATTGGGCATTTTTGTTTATGACAGATCTATTGGATCAAGATGATTTTACCACAACTGATTGCTCTAAATGCACCTATGCAAAAAACCTTCAATGATATAAACGCAAACAGTGTAATCAATGTGCAAATACTATGAAAATGTGGGCTTTTCCATGAGATATGTTCTGAATGAGAGGAAACGATAAAAAACGTCGTATTGATAATGTGTTAAGACACGGGTGTAATAAAATGTCTATATTTACATACCTACATACATAGCTCTTATAAAAATAAATAGCGTCGTAGGTGCGTCCGTCGTAATAGCGTAATGTATTTATGTACACAGGTAATGAATGGTAGCATCAATGAAGCAGTGATTGAAGTTTTCAACCTTTGCTCAATCCATAACATGGAACCAGTTGTGGTTAGAACTTTGTTTGAACCCCTGCGGCTTGGACTCAAGAGCTATGATTTGTTTATTCATTTATTACGACCTCAAGTTTTTTTAATTTTTTTTTTCACTTTTCAGATCCTATTCGAAAAGTAAACAAATGATTTTGACTTTTCAGATTTTTTTTATTCATAATCATGTATGTACTTTGTATGCCCCTTAACCATCAAAAGGAGCGATAACCCACCCGGTGCGAAGCGTAAACATCTTTTTGAACAAATTACATAAAAATAGTTTCGCTCTGGACGGAGTCTTTTAGTTTGTCATTCTAAACAACAAAGGTCCTTTGAGTTTGCAAACCTCATTTTTGAACGTATTCTATTCTATTTTTGAAGTGACACTATCTTCAGTTTTCAGAAATTTTATGTGTGCTTGAAATTAAAATTTTGGGCTAAGGAAAGTTAAATAAATCATTGTCAGATTTTGGTAGCTATCGAACATCAGGTAGGTAAGCAGACGATCGATTCTACGGGCATACAAAAAAGTAACTTGACGTGTTCAGAAGGGGTTAAAATTAATCAATCATTTCTAGACGCTGAACTATAATGTTTTTGCGATCATATAGACAACCGCACTATAAAAAATGTATCTTTCGATAAAAAACAGAGGATACGCAGCGCGTCCGCCCCCCTTTTGAACCCCTATCCGGCGCTTGTTGGCTGCCGCACAGTGTTTCCTTGAATGTACGCCGTTTCATTCATGATGGCGGCCGCCTCCCATTCATAAAAACCTACCGAGCGGCGTTGCCACATATATTTTAATTCTGTGAAGTTCGTGCTCACACGTGATTCGTGGATTTTCTCACCGTCTGGTCAGATGGTTTGAATTTGTTCATATGGGGTTCTTTCCAAGCAAGGATTTTCCACCAACGTTGGTGTTTCGTTTATCGCGAATGGTTTTTGAGGTACCTAAGCTTTGATGACTCAAAGATATTTTAAACCATTTACTATTTAAGACCTTGTTGATCTTTGGAAACCTTCCTGCTTCCTGCAAATTTTCGAGTATAAAAAGAAGCATGAGGGAACAATAGGGAAACCGAATATGAAATAAGTATCTAGAAAATACCTTATAAATATAAACCGATGGTTCACTAAGAATTGTGAAAAGCACACTGTTCTTCCATACCACAAGTTGCAAATATTTTTAGGTTGTCAGGTCAAATAGCCCATGATATTAATTCTTATTCCTTATCGTTAGCAACAAAAGGCTTCATAGTTGGCTCAATTTGGGTTATGCTAATGTTTTCTAAATCTATTTTTGAAGGCAATGTACTTCATTGAAGAATGTTACACAATAAGAATGGCTATAATTATCAGATTATTAATGTCATATAGAGAAATACCATTCAGGTACAGAGCAACACGGTCTCGATTTTCAAAGCTATGCCATTTGGAAATAAGAAGCTGCTAAAATGAAGGTGTTTTTTTCTGATTCCAAATATATGTATACATGTATATATGACATAAAATTTAAGTTTGTGTGCGGTGGTGTCTAACAAATTGAAGCATTCCAGCAGTCGGTCACCCCATCCCGTGACCGACTTCGTGTTATCCTCCAATTTTTCCATCAGCAAAAAATCACAACGGTTGAAGTGCCTCTTTGTACGGAATCTTCTACCTACAAAAATGTCTAGATCTGTTACCACGCAATCCTGTCACCAGTTCCTAAAAGATTATGTTTGCCACCTTCTAAACATGCTGCTTTCGTCCGCCCGACCAAAGTTAGCCACCATGTATAGGTGTTTCGTGATTCTGGGCTACTCAGCATCAAGATGGTCTAGCCTTAGTCTTTCGGACAACGTCAAACGTGTGAGATCTGTCGAAATAAGACAGCGCGAAGCACCATCTGCCGCTAGAGTCGACCACTGCGAACAGTGATTTTTTCTGTCAATTTCATTGGGCGCAACCATATGGCAATGTTGCGACCTAATGTCACAGTTGCGGTGATGAAACCTCGGCCAGGTCGCGATGGATTCAACGTCTATCTTCGTTACGCTCCTTACCTCCTAGTTTACGTCACGCAATTGTGGAGTAAACTCATCCAGTCTTATGGTGAGGCTCATATCGTTGCTCTTGACATCACAGAAGCGTTTGATCAGCTGTGGCACGCTGCCCTTTTAAGCAAACTTCCATCCTATGGCCTCCCAGAAAAGCTTTGCAGATGGGTGGCTAATTCTATCTCTGGCTGCAAGATATCCGTCGTAATTGACGGGTTCTGCTCTTCATCCAACATCGTCAACCCGGGTGTTCCCCAGGGATCAGTCTTGGCTCCAACACTGTTTCTCTTACATATCAACGACCTCCTTACCTGCACGATCAACCCAATCCACAGATTGCTGATGACAGCACTCTACATGCAGGAATTTAGAGTGACAAGCCGATCTCTGCCGCTAAGCTTTAAAAAAGAAGACTAGCGACGACTTCCTCCCTGACAAGAGACCGGAAGGCTATCACTGGTTGGGGACGCAACAATCTTGTACAGTTCAATGCTTCTAAAACGCAGTCCTGTACTTTGACGAACAAAAAGCGTCCCTGCGCTCACCCGGTTTCGATGGATGGTCGAGTTCTGCCAAAGAGCCATTCATTTCGGCTGGTCGGAGTCCAGATCAGCGAGGACCTGATCTGGCACGAACACATGTCGTCAACAACTGCAGCCGCTGGGAAAAAGCTAGGCTATTTGTTTAGGGCTAAGAAGTACTTTTCTCCGCATGACCTTCTCACTCTATACAAGGCCCAGATAAGGCCTAGCCTCGAGTATTGCTCATAAGTTTGGGGTGCTGCCGCCCCGACTACATTATCCATGCTCGATGCTGTCCAGAGGAGGGCGGTCCGACTGATCGATCACTCTTCGCTAACAGACAGTCTCGGGACTCTTCCGCACCGGCGGACCGTCGGCGATCTAGCTCTTTTCTACCGCGACACCAACGGGCTTTGCTCCTCAGAGCTCACTTCCATGATGCTGCCGTGCGATGTGCCTGCCAGACAGACGCGCCTGACTTTGGCGTCACATCCTAACCGTGTCGAACGGCCGCTCCTTTGTCCCGAGGGTGTCGAAATTATGGAACAATCTACAAGAGGAAGCTTTTCCCAGTTCTGCTAACCTTAGGCAGTTCAAACATCGTATTAACAAAAATTCTTTGGCGTCATCATAGCAGCCGCGGTGTTCCGGCATTTAGGCTTCTGCGATATATAAAAAAAGCTTACTTGGCCGATAATACCGAAACACAATGATAGCAGGGGAGGGTGTAGACATGTTTCTATCATTCTGTTTTAAGGGTGGGAGTACGGGGAAATATATGTGTAAAATATACCTGCTAGGTGTGTAGGATTGCCTGGGTCAGAAGCATACAAGTTTTCCAACGCCAAACTATTGAAATATACTTACCCCCACTCCCAGGCTTTACACTCGTGAAATTTTGCCAAAACAGTTTTAGACAATTTTTTTCGTTTTTTGCTCGTTAACATCAACATCCGAGTTTTATTTCCCATTTAATAGAGGAACCAAGGATTAGCTTATAGACACACCGACGTATGTAACATTGAAAAAAAAACGCTTTATCTCAATTCCAATTTCTTTTTTTATAATTACAATACTCGCCAATTGTCTTGGTAAGTAAAAATGTAGAAAGCATGTCGCCCACCTCCTGCCGTCAACCAACCGGCTGGTATACACCAGGCAACGCCGCCTCGACCGCGCAGCGCGCAGAGGTCGCCACCGAGCGGCGCTGCTTGGCCGCTTTCCGCCGACGCGCCAGTCTCGCTACCACCCTGTAGTGGTGTACGTCGTGGTGTTATGATGCCGCATCGCTTCCAATACGACGCCGATTCGGTCGCCGCCGCTGTAGTCGTAGTGTCGCGTCTAGTGCTACTGCGTGGGTGCCTCATCTCCAACTGCTGCACCGATTTTCATTCAGTGAAATCCGCCGTCGTACACCGCAGATCCTAAGGTTGCTCACAAGCAAATATACTGGTACTCAATTCGATAGTACTACTAATCAGTGTGTGTTAGGTGGTCCATTGGCGGAGTGACAGTGTCTGTATAACAGGGATTACTGACTGAGGTGCGAACAAGTGCGGATTTACTACTTGCCTGTGGACCTATATTGGAGATTATTCGGAAAATTAATGTGAGTACCCTGGTCTGGTACTATTAATATAGTAATAAAAACACCGATGTAGTTAGTCTGCATATTATACGTTTGTATCAAATTTTACGAAATTTGCTTCAACGTAGTAAATGAAACCAATACCTACTCCCTAGAGCATTACTGAATACTAGCAGTACCACTGGGTACCGTACCATCTGCTTTTTGCAGTTGGTGGGCGGACAAACGAACCCGCACATGAACAATAAAACCCGCACATGAACAATAAATCCTTAGTTCTATCCATCGTGCACTATCTCTGGTACTATACCAACGAATTCCTTTGGGAATCCAAGCCTACGCGAGTCTCATGTTCTGGAAAAGCAAATTGAAACCTCTCTAGAAATCTAAAGACAGGAAACACGTATTAGGATGTATAACCATTTCCAGTAGTACCCTGTTTGTCTGTACTCTGTACTCGTACCTGGTGGAATAGTGAATGTACATGCAGCTTTCATTCACTAAAACCCAATCGACCGATTCTGGTACTGATGGGTTTGAACTGTGGCGGTGTACATCTTTTACTGATACTTCGTAATTCCTACTGGCATTAGACAAACCATGAGCGGAGAGCGGTCATAGACATTAGAGGAAAGCGATGCGTACAGGAATAGGACTTTGCTTATTATTGCAATTATTAATGCTAAATTGGTATAGTTCTACCCTCATAACCTTCGATTGAGTCTCAGGGTCTTCCAGAGAAACTAAACCAATCAATCTTTTCGGGTGTTTTAAAATAGTTGAAAAGCGCGATGTGGCTTGCGCACAATTAGCAAGTAGGTAGTAGCAGTACCGGCTATTTTATAAGAAGGTGGGCGAACGAAGTCGCACGTGGGCCTTGCTTACCTGGTATATTTGTCCACTACTTCGTCAATGAACATCTGGGGCTATTTTTTAACGAGTTGCATAGTGATCATGAACATTATCGTACGTTACTCTTAAAAACTACGTAGAAAACAATGTATCATCTATTCGATTACAGTAACTTACAAGAAATATTCGTTTGTTACCAGTAAAATCATTGCAGCCATTCATGTTTTCCACCTGCTACGTTTTATGGATTTATCTCTGATGGAGCTAAATAGGCTGATTTTAGTGTTGTAATCAAAAAGAACCATCCTAATCTTCAGTTTAGTTCCTCAAATTGTTCGTCAATAACTCAACAAACTAACATACTGCATACATGTGCACCCTCAGGAATAGACCAAAAGGTCATATACGTACAGCATGGCTTACGCGTTTAAAATTTTTGATTTACAACTCCATCTATTAGAATTTTCCGGTACTACTTTCCCGAACAAAATCATATGTGCTTATACACTTTGATGTTTGGACATACTGATTGAATTTTGAGCTCAATCGGCACTAACACGGCAATGTAACTCTACTGACAGTATCTATCTCAAGATCTACCTTGAAAGATTACAGTATGTTACTTTCATAATTTCCCTCATTCTGCTCATTCATCTAAAAACCTCGTTTTTTATCCTTGCGTTGCGATACCCGTCTTGACAATTTTCAAATATACGGCAGTCGTTAGTCACAATCACATATGCAGCACATATCCAGGTAGTCGCACAATCGCAGAATAGACCGGAAATATACACACAGGTGTAGAATTTCGTTCGATTGAAAACGCAGCCATCAATTATTATATAATAGTGATGGGTTTAAATTTGTATAATAAAAATATTCGAATACTTGATGTATTGACAAGGTTCAGAAACCACGGCTTAAAACATCTTTCTTGATTTTCAGTGAGGTGCAGTAACCAAGTGAGAACCTGTAGATTTTCACTAGTTCACCCAACGTTGCCGCTAGTACAAATTTACTAGACAGTATTTAATGACTACATTTTGTATGTAAAAACCAATCAAAAATATTTGATTAATATCATAAAATAAATAGATCGCGTACCAAAAATATGGTATCTAGCAAACAATTAGAGCGATGTATATGTTTTCATTCAGATTATTAAAAACACGCAGTGATTTTTTTCTATTATCTGCCCACTGTGGTGCTTGAACAAAGTTGGGCAAGTATTTTATTTTCTATGATGACTCCCCTTAAGTCAAAGGGTTATGCATTTTACATTTACTATTTCCGAGACTATTTTTGTACTACCTACCTATGTCTTACGCTATTTAATAAATATTCGATTACTGATTGATCGGACTTTGCCCATCACAATGTTAATATGACGGAAGCAATGTAATCTGGAATAAATACGACAGACTCTGGCAGAATTTACTATCGCCTAGCCGATTCTGATGGTCGTATTGCACTCTGCTGGTAATTTTAGATGCCAACGACAGCACATTTGAAACTTCAACCAAATGGAACGGAAATGCTACTCGTCGCAATTCCTATGCGGTAAATGAACTCTGCAACATTTTTAATCCCATCAAGTTTCATTCGTTTTTTCTCACGGGACAAATATCACTTCCATCATCAACAGCTTAACCTACATAATGTTGTATATTATTACAATGAAAATCAACTTATAGTAACATTTTATTTCCCTATCGAGTAAAAGATTCAATTAAAAAAAAACTTTAAATCGAAATAGCCAGGTATTGTTGCTGTAATGCTTCAGAAGTAAACGCGCAACTTCATGCCACCAATTAGCATCCTAGAAACAAAAATAATAGTGACTTTATGTGGACGTGTCATGTGTATTCAAGGAACGCTTTTTTAATTATCTTGGGACTATTGTATCGAACAGAATTTTCAGTATGACTATTTTATGTTAGCAAAAATCTTATGTTGAACTTCCTCATTGTATAAAAACCGTTCAAAATCACTACACACGAAGCTGAACCGTTTGAGTGCAATACTTCAATCTCTCTCCTCACCGAAGATTGTTGAGCACTTTTAAATACATCATTTCTTATTGAGTTGTTAAACACCCATAGATTTCAGTATAGTTAGTTGAATGGTTGGACAGATCCAAATGGACCTCAATCTTGGCCTGCTCGGTTTCGGACTTGAACCTTATAGATTGTTTATCATGCGACCATCTTTAGTTGACCGTCGTGTGTTGTTTGACTTACATTCTAGCAGCTCTTGAACAGTTTTTGCAGATTAAGAAGATAAGGATTTTTTCTAATATATAATGCTGTTCGAGTATTTTTGTACCCTCTTCGAGACGAAACTGCTAAAGCGCAGAGTATTTTGGAATGTTTGCGTCGTGATTTGGACATTTAAAATCAGTAGGTATTTGTTTTTTCCATAATTTGCAACAGTTTAGCTGACGTTATTTATGTCAAAAATGCTTGTTCTATCGAGTTAATTGTGATACCAACCGTAGTATTTTTATCCGCATATTTTTTTCATTTATCAATACACCGGAAATGAAGTCACAGTCCATTGGTAAAGCGATAAACCTAGACCCAATGGTGAACGGCCGCCTTTATGAATGGTTTCTCTAATTTTATTCTTTGGTGGTTTGGTTAGAAAGGATATTAGAAGGCACAGTAAATGAGGAAGCTCTACAAACTACAGTTATTTAAAAGTAACTCTAAATTCCATTATTCATTTACGTAACATACAGCAACGTATAATTTCGTTAACTAAAAAATGCGATGAGATGTAAGTAACGAACTTATTGTAGAAGAAGAATGCTAGTATCCTTCTAGTGATCCTACTCATTGACGAAGTAAACGTTGAATTTTTTTATGTGTACTTATGTGTTTTTTCGACTAAACCAATACTCCATAGTATATTCGAAATCGACATACTTTTTCAAATTACTGCATGTTTGTATTTCATATCCCGACAAAAACATCCTTACGTTAAAACCATATACTAAAAATAGTTACTATCCTATTACCAAATCCTGAAACTCGAGTTGGAATACTAAAAACAAAACTTTGCATCATAAATCTATAAAGACAAGCAGTTTAGGGCATACGTTTAATAGATGTTTTTCACTCAATATTGGTTCAAGGTTAGGCTGCTAAAACGTGTATTGTGACATGTAGAAACACTATTTGTATAGATAACGTAAGGGCATCTACTATGTATGTATATGGACTTCAGTTGTATAAATAGTGTTTGTTTTCCTATTAGACACAGTGATATTGATAACAACCGTAATCACCCGCATATTTCTTTCTTTTATTGATATATAAACCGGAAGTGAAGTCATAGTCCATTACAAAAGTGATATGATAAGAGTATGAATTTCAGATTGTGAACAAATGAATGGTTCTCTATTATAATAGTACTTTTCTGAAAAAAATGTTGCCAACTAGAAAGGAAAAACAAGCATGGAAGTTACAGGTAAGGTTGATTCTCACTATACATTCCGTAACCGTTCCGTAAATTATTGAAATTAAATATTCGCCTTCGCTTAAAGCAGGCTATTGCGTGTGTATGAACATTATCCGTAAGGTATACTGTGTATACAATCACATTGTACGGGACGTTTACGAAACTGATATGGAATGGAAACAGAATGTATAGTGAGAATCAACCTTTATATGTCAGTCAGTCAAAAAACTTTGTATGTAAACATAGTTGAGAGTAGTAGTTATTCACTGAAACGTTAAGGCTGCTACACACAGTGCCGGCGGCAGGACCGTCGGGCAAGCCGCCGGCTAAGCCTCCGTGCACCCGGCGGCATACAAAGCAAAGGAGCCGCCGGGGTGTGCCGGCGGGTTACGCGGCTTGCCGGCATCACTTCGTTCCTGGCATTCGAGAGGTAGTGTTGTGCGGTTTGTGTGTTGCACTTCACTAGCGTTCTATGTGACTGTCACAACCGGAATGATGCTTGGCGGCTTGTATTGCCGACGGCATAAACTCGGCTTGTGTGTAGTAGCTTTTAGAGAGAATATACATCTAGGTATAGAAGACGTTTAGTTGAATTTTTTCGTTGACATTTTTGCTTTCATTACCGACTAGCGTTCTCCTATGCGATTTTACCCGCAGAACGTTTAGGTGGCCACTGCAATTAAGAAAACAAATTTCCCAAGCATGCA